ATACTATCGTCGGATCCCCCGCAAGAAATTGCATTTGTTTTCTTTAATCCCATTTATATAATTTTAAGTGTGGAAATAAATCAATATTGAATTATAAAGTTTGGAAAGGATGTCCGATTGTAATTGTCACAATTTGACTCAAATTTGAAGTGCTTTACGAGAAGAGAGAATAATATGAATAATCCACTTTAGATTATTCCCCATTTTTACTGAACATTTTACAATAGAATAAATAGTAAAAAGCGAACGTTTATAAACAAATTTCAGTTGAAATCTGACGTTTATGAAAAATAAAAGCATTCATAAATGCCAAAAAAGGTGCTTAAGAAGTCAACTTTCGTGATACAAAACTTATGACTAACTTCATAATTACGCTTTCGTTCTTTATGTGATTCAAAAATTGTACAGCTTTACGTTTCAAACTTTAAAACATAACGCAAATGCTCAAGTCAACAGGATGGACTAATTATTCCCTATTCACGCAATTATCCAGGTAACGCCAAATCCGTGTCTACTAATTTATGAGTTTCAAAATTTCGTCAAACTTTTTGAAGCTGTGTGATTCTCTTCTGACAATGGGTGAAAGTTGCTTCAGGCAGGTTAGACTTCGGTACCTATTAACCGATGAGAATTGGCTAAAAGCCGCTATTTTCAGGCGGCTTAGGAAGAAAGACGGGGTTTTGCATTAATCTCTTGCAAATGGGCCTTCTCTCATAAAAAGAAGCATCACTTTAAAATCCATTGTGTAAGTCTGTGTAATGCTATTTAAACACGTTTTAGCACCTTTTATCATCTGCTTGATGTGACCTCACTATGGGCATTTTAGGCTGTTTGAATTTTCAACGTCAGCAGGGGGGGGGAGAGTGATGTGAGCACAGCAAACTCTGGCTGCTTCTGTAATCTATGCCTATCTTTTCGCTAAAATTTCTGAAGTGTCTAGAACTCCTTTCATCTCCGTCGCAGTTTCTTTTAATAAAGACCGCAACTTAACTACCTCCCTTCTGCTTCGTCTACACAAATTGGGTTTCTAGTCCACTGCAGGCTAAAAATCAGGAGAACAAAGATACTCAGAAAAATTAACCGTTTCCTTCTTATTTAGAATGGACCATTATGAACCTTTAAACATGTGGGGTGTGCAATAGACTTGCCTCCACGTGGTGCACCCTGGGCAACGTATATACTCATACGGCAAAAAAGTCTATTAACCGGCAGTTGACTTCAAACTACCCTGACCCCGCTGTATGTCATATTTGATTACTTCCACATTACTCGTCTCACCTTTTTTATACATTTGTGTCTGTCTCTTTTACATCTTTGAAACAATCTTCTTTCCCCCCCCCCCCTCTCGACTTTTTTCACTCTGATGTTCCTTCCCCTCTGTGGAGCCTGAAGTCCACTAAAAGGCTAATGATAACCATCAAAACGCCTGCCTTTTGATATAAATAAATAAACCTTTAAACATGTATAAAAAAACAAAAATAGCATGGCCGTAATGAGATAATAAGGTCGAACTATTTCCGACAATAGATACCCTTGCCATAGAGAAGAATTAGGAAAGTATTTCACTTTAAATATGAAAAGGCTCCTTTCAACTCTCAACCATAACTTTTAAGTAGAATAGATGTTCAAGAAGACCTTTAAGAGCATTTAAACTGCAAAACGTATAATCGTCAATCAGTCAATCGTTCATCACTTGAATTTAAATTGGGTTTTAAGATAAAAAAAAGGTTGTAAATCGCTGACAAGAAAAAGTTTAATAAATCAAAGCAGAAATTAGCTTAAGTTTTCGGCAATGGTATTGATGAAAATAAAGACAAAGGAGTATATTTGAAATAAATCTCTGGATAAAATTCCAGAGGGAATGCATTAAAACAACATTTCGCAGTTATTCTCTGCTCGTTATAATTATGCTCGCACATTGGAATGAGACTATTTAAGAGCAATAAATAACGCCAAAATGATCTCTTAACCAAGCCTCCTATTTAGTTAAAATAGGTTTGAGGCGACAATGATGGAGGAAACCGATTTTATTTTGCTATGGAAAAGTTGCAAAGGTGGGATTGAAAAATTCAATGGGCGCAACCTTTGCCACTGGAAAGATAAAATCAGGCACTAATTTACAACTAAGCTTAAATGAAGAGCTCGTGAATAACCATAGAAATAGCTTTTCTAAAACAGGTCAAATAGAGCAATATACATGTCCTAATTTTAAGACAAAAGAACTCTACTACCTTTCTACTCTCTTCGGTAAACATACATGGTATGCTATTTTTGTGCCGAAATATTTTTATCACCTTTTAATTAAATAAATAAGTAAACAAGTTAAACCCTTTTTTCCTGTATAATGATCTTTAGCATAAATAACGAATGTCTGAAAAGAGAGTGAACTTTTGTGGAACGCAGAAAGTTCATTTATAGGAAGAAAGTTAATCAAGTTGGAGAAAGAAGATATATCCGCTTGACATCTCGCAATTAAATTGATTAACCAAGTTCCGAAAAAATTCTAACAATACCATCTTCACTATTTCTAGCCCTGTAAACCACTTGATATTAATTAATAAAAACTCTTTTCTGAGTAGTATCACATCACCTGAACCCACATCAAGCTAACCGTCCTTGATCTTAAATAAAAAGGAGAGAAAAATATGTTATTGGCATTAAACCATTGTGAGGAATTGTGTAGGAATTAGTAGGTCTCAACTCAAAATACAAATGTTTTCAAATTTTTTTAAATGAACACAAAACCGAATACCAAATGAGAACTTTGATATCCTTTAAGTTTTGCAATTTTAGAATCTATCATAAAATAAAAAATTCAGCATTTTACAATGTCTAGTGTTAAGAAGATGGTCAGATATTGACCAAAATAGGAGTTCAAAAAATTAAATGCAAAATTAAATAAAGCTAAATAATCCCTGTCAGCATAATAAAGATATTTTTGAAAATTGAGTATGATCATTAGAAGGTAGAGCAAGTCCGAAGAATCACAGAGCTTTTCAATTAATTTTGCCACTTAAAATATCTTAAATGACGAATACTGAAGAAATAAAATATCTAAAGTAGCAGATTATTCAAATGAAAAAAGTTCGAGTATTTAGTGGCAAGACTAGGCAAAAAAGTCAGAAATACATGAAAAGACAATAAACCCAATAGGCAATAAGTAAATTGAAAATAGTTAATTTATATATCAAAATTACGACAAATTATAAAAGCATTACTATGATAATTTAGTTATTAAGAAAATGATTTGGAATAGTAGGAAAAATTCAATTGAATTTAAGTAAAAAAAGATGTACATAATAAAGAAGAAAGGGAAATGGAAATATATAATAAATAATCATTTAGTGCGTTTAAGACCCCTTAAACAAAATTTCGATAATTTAAAAATAACGGAAAAGCAAATTTACGCAAGTAATATACTAAAATATTAAGTTAATAAGCTACAACAAATTATTAAATCTATATGTTATAATTTAATTTCTGACTTAGGTGTTTGGCTAAAAGTGTCTTAATCAATGAATGTGAACCGGTTATTTAAGTGTTAAAGAATAAAAAATTAAGTTATTCCAGACCAGCCAGTTAGGTACATAAAATATATATAACAAAAAGCGGGAACATTCGAGCAAACTCACAATCACAGTCATTTGAGGCGCATATCGCGATTGAATAGTTCAAGGTTGCAAATCATATGTAGATTTTTAAAATAAAACATTATAACAAGTGTAAGCATTAGTATATTTCTCGCAGGATACAGCTAAATTCATCAAAATACATAAATCAAATGGCAAAATGAATAAATTTTAATGTTGTAAAATTTTAAATTTTTAAATATATAATGGTGAACTAATTACGTTTGCTTGATAATCTGTCTTAAAAATGTGCTAATTTCCTAGGCTTATCGAATTAAAAATGTCTGGCATATTTTATTATTAAATATTTTAAGTTAACTAAATTCTATTGGTGGATAAATTGTCTTCGAATTCGAATACTTTCGATATCATCTTTTTATCATCGCAAAACGATGTGGAAGTATGTTATATTATGCACTAATAAGGTGAGAATATGGTTAGCCCATCACTAAAACTCACTTTCTAAAGTTTTAATACTTTTCGCATACTTTAGCAAGGAAACTCTGTACAATATCTCCAGATTGGTTAAGTCATTACTTTCATTAATGTTGTTAAAACACACTTTTGTAGCGCTTGAATGCTTGATATGACTTGGTAGATAATTTAAAATTAATGCATTGAAATTGTTGCCATTAACCACAATCGTAAATCCAATTATAATTTAACTACTCATTTAAGAATAAAAACTTGCAACGAAACTTACATTTAAGTAATCCATATTATGGCCGTTTCACTTAACATCAAGGCTGAAGTTGTTTATAACGGCTTTCGTTTGATGAAAAAGTTGCCATTAGCAAAGCTTATATTAATATCTTGTTTGCAAAAGGAAGCTACTTACAAGTTTTCCGTTACGGATGAAAATGAAATAGATCCTGACTAGCAAATTCTGACAAAACTTTCAAAAAAGAAAATTCTAAACACGATTGAATTAGAAAAATCGATTCTGTGAAGATTTGTTAATAAAAAATAATTTTTAAAGACGAAATTTAATCACAGGGCACTTAACATTGCATATTTGTATCATTTAATAGATGCGCCATTCATCGTTTGAATTGGTTAGTTTTCCATCAGCTGATCGGGAGTTTTGGTTGTTATTTATATTCATGGTATTTCTCTCAAAAGGTATGCTAGATAGTAAAGGTTGGAGGGCCTTATACAAATAATTTTGCTTGTATTTTGATATATATCATATTATTTCAACGCTTTGTAGGACTACTATTATAAATAAGATCCTTTTGTTTTCCCAATCTATCTTTTAATGATATTTTTTGTCTTATCTAACCATCTTTCAATAACTATTTACCTTTTTGTTTTTTCATAGTTTATTTTTCTATCCACTCTTTTCCTCTATGCTCTTCTTTTAGATCAAATATGTACGTATTTCTGATGTCAAAATGTTGCTTAGTGAATGTGGATAATTCCAGCCTGCACGAGCGGTAGGTTACTACCATAGATTTTACTTCCTACTTATTTATTCAAATAGATTCAGTAGTCTCTATACCTACCTTTCTCAATATTATCAACTTCCATATGACCGCATGATTCTACTTAGTGATGGTGGTAATCAGTTAAATCATTTCAATATTATCAAAGACCATGATGTCGGAGAAGTGAGTGTTTCATGTTTCGCTTCTTTCTTCATTTTTCTTTTTATTTGTTCTCATACAGCTTGTTCCATTTTAGACTTGTGACAATCCCATTTATGTATTCGTCCGAGAATCCGCAATTTCGCCGGCGCCCTGTTCGCTAAAATGTATTTATTTGCTAATTTTGACATGTTTTCTTTACCTTCTTGTCGTTATATTCTTAATTGAAAGTTTTGAATATTTTTACCAGTGAGTTATGCTTTTATATAGTTTGAGGTTTCGGTCTCATTAACTCTTTATGTGCTATTCCATTTTGGGATTCGGTTTTTAACTCTTTTTATTAGTTTTATGGTACTTTTCTTTAGTCAATTTTGTATTCTACTTTCTTAGTTCATGGATTACCCAAGAAGGTTTTAAACTACACTGATCAACCATTTTCAAATATACTCATCAATGATCTTCAAGTCTATTTCAAGCAGATTGTTTCGGCGTTAGATGCTGATGTGGAAACTATACGACAACTAGAACAGGACCAAAGACTCATGTGCTTCGTAAGTTCTACAAAATTATCTTGAAGTTTTCATTTTTTATTTAGTTTCCAAACGAGTTGAAGCACCTTTTTTTCCTTATTCCTCTTGAAGCAAAAATTTTCTCGATTTGTTTTTTGTTGTAAACAAGCATTTCACCGCTCCTCTTACGAATTAGTGTTAATTAATGCCTTTGGTTAATGAGAATCTATCCCGCGATCTCATAACTACTTTTCACTTGCGTCTTTTATTCTGCCAGATTGCATCTTACATAGGCATCGCTTGTCAGGATCGCCGATCACACTTTTGTTTGTGAACAGAATGATGTTACCTCAATGTTATGTCCCCAAGGTTCTTATTGATGGAATTATGTTTACCTGGGTGGTCTAATTTTCTTTATTAGGTTATTTGTGTTTCAAATTATCACTTTGAGTCCCCTTTAGATGTTTTCTAGCTATTAAAACGAGGTCTCTTTTCTGCCACATATTGACGCTAATTGACAGATAATCGCTACATTTTACTCAGTAATAGTATTGTTTTGCCGCATAATTTCCTCCCGTTCATGTCGTCTTGTTTGAGTTCAAGATTTCATCAATTAGCGAAAGCCTATGCCTCTGTAAATTAATATTATTGTACAATTAATGTTAGTTTTAATCGCTGATTGAAAGCACGTTCGTTAAAAAGAATCGCTTTCTGAAGGTTTATTTCGAGTCCTTTCAAGAGAGATGGGTAAGTTGCCATAAATCTAATAATATTTAAAAAGTGCAAACTTTTATTCTTTCACTGTGCCAATGCTTCTCCAACTCGTGACTTTTGACCTGATGGTCAGAGCTTTTATCTTCACGTCTTTACGCCTTTCTTTGATCAGAATCCCGGCATGTTTTGATTTATCTCGCTTTTGCTTTTCGAGTGCCTGAAACGCACTTTAACCGCTTCACTTTAGAAGCGTTAAAAAACGTTTCAAGTTCATGTTTTAAAAATGCTCGCAAAGATGGGATGGTGGTTAGCATGTACGTTTGTCTGGTTGTCATTGGTGCGTGTATACTGTGAATGAAATGCCTAATCGAAATTGACTGGGAGATGGGTACCAGAATCCGAGTTTCTCGCTGAGAATGCTGCTACTATTTACAAGACCACCCCAAATTTATTGCCACGATTTACATCAAGCCTCTTTTTATACCTTTGTATCAGTCATTCTTTTAGTTTTAGTATCTTTTACCCTAACTTAAAACCTTTTATTGTACGTGGCTTTCGCTTGATCGTTCAACATTTCTCTACCTATCTACTCTAGGTTCAAACTTATGAGTGTAGTTGAATATCGAGTTAAACGTAAACAAAACATTATTGAAACTCATTCCGTAGTCTTAATTACTAATGTGATGTATTTATTGAAGACTTTCTCGAGAACCTTCCTACATCTGATGTAAATATTACGTCATAGTTCAGTTAGAGATCTTTTTGTTGGTTTATATTTTCAGTAATAATTACAATAATTCCCGAGCCCATCAAGCAAGCATTTCCGGTCTCCGATTTTTGCTTTAGAGTGGTAGCCTTGATTATTACCATATTTGTATCTGCGGTTGGTTATTCCATTCATTGGATGGATGTTGATGCAACGTTGAATCCGATACCTCAGGTATTGCAGTTGGTGGATGTCTACAATTGAATGTTAAATAAAATTTCACAAGTCCATAAAGAGGAGGGAGGGGACTGTAAGAAACGCTTGACTTGGGTAAAATGGTTTACCCTTACTTACGACTCAACTTGTGATCTTTCTTTTGGATCGAATCTGAATTATCACCTACGTGTGTTGTCCTCCCCCCTCCCCCCCCCCATCTCATATTAGTAGACTTTCATAGTCTGATCAAGATTGATAATTGATGATGAAATGTGAATGTGATCTGTGGCTTTCTAAATTTATTTATATGTAGTGGGAAGTGGTATTTGAAGACAAAATCACAAAATCATGATCCAATTTATTTGCTTCAGTTGGAGCTTTGCTTTGGTGTAATTGGGTGTTGGTAATTAGCTAGTATCAAATTTCATGAATAACGATTTGCATTAATTCTATTTCCCTGATCGCTTTCATTGTTTCTAGTTTGTTTTAATCAGAGTAGACAACTTATATAACTCCCCCTTTTTCATTGTTTTAGGGTTGGTTTATCGCCCAAGCCAACTTTGAGCACGATTTGCAGGGATTTCAGGAGAACGTGAAGAGCTACTGGAAGGAATATGAGGATCATTGCAGTGAGGTCGGACGTTGGGAAGCCATTTTCAACAAGTAAGTTCCTTTGTTCTTTTCATATTGTCCTCTTCATCACATAATCCTCTGATATTTCTCACCTTTCTGAATCATTCATTGTGAAAATATCGATCCCATTTATCAGCACGGCTTGATCAAGTCATATTTTCCTCTTTGTACTTTGCACTTCATAATATTTTTTAAAGTTGGAATCTTCTTTCAACAAGTTGTTTCTATTTGAAAGGAGGGGATTAATTTTGTTCCGTAACCATGACTGCACTTTTTATGGGTTCTCGTGACTGTCGCATTATGTTTAACTGCATGAATATGCACTTTATGTGTTTATTTTGATTAGATTTTGGGGTCTGTACTGGGATTACCTTTTTTGATCGATTTTTTGGCGGTGTATTCACACTTTTCCATCCAGATTTTGTTTATTTGTTCTTTTGGCGTGGTTCTTTTCCCCATACTTTTGTTTTCAAACGGATCGAATCTTTCTATTGTTTACTTTTAATAAGTGCCTCCATTGGTCAAATATGAGCGAAATGTATAGTTTTAAGTTACCTTCTGCAGATACTAATTTTGAAGATTTCAGTTCAAAAATAGTCGAACATTGTCTTGATGTATTTAAGGGTGTTGAGATCAAATTGGCCTGGACTTTCGTAGTTGAGTGCATGTAAAGTTCGGCGTGTACTTTATTCTTATTTTCAATCTGCTATGGCAGAAAAGAGCACCAACCTATGTTCTTTTGGTGTAAATGATTGAGCGCTATGTTAATCATCCATTTATTTGAACTTGGTTAATTCATGTACTTTTTATCAAATCTTTAGGTGAACTTGAACAGATTTGTGAAATGATGGACTAATAAAATTTAAAAAAATGAAGGCCAAATCATGAACGCGAAAATTAATATCCAGTTCAATTTCCGTACATCTAATTACAACTGCGGTTGTGTCACGAAGACTTCACAGGCTATGAAGAGTTTAGTTGCAGAGGTAAAGATCGAAGCCTGGTTTCAAAGCTATATATCTAGTGTGGAGATTGGTTGTTTACTGTTGACAGTAAGTTTAATGGACCCGATCAAAAGTTGTGAGCAGTGAAGAAAGTAAGTAGAATTAGGAAGTGATTCACATTTGAAGCTATGGGACCAATCTCAAGAGTGTTAATGAGAACTGGTAATTGGTGCATATAACCAGGTATTCATTGCCCATGTCCATCATCATCATCAAGGCAAACATGAATCGTAGTCATTGAATACTTGTATTAAATGGACTCCCATTTGTGACCTCAAAGGCGCATGCACTTTTTTAATTTGTTGGGGGGGGGGGGCGGGGGGGAGGACGGGACCGCTATACCAGAAAGTGGAAACAATGGCTGTGGCAGGTAGCTAAAATCAGCCAAGAGAATGTGGCTAACTTGTACTAAATAAACTGCAATTGGAGTTCGAGGGAGGCGATGCGAGGAAAACGTGCGGGCAGAACCTTAATAAGCGCGTATGTGTATGGAATTGGGCGTACAAGGCTGGTCTATGAGTCACATGGCCATTTTGGGTCACGTGAGGGTATAAATGCAGAAGTACTTTTAATGAATAATGACATTTATTGTAAAGGGAGAATCAATGGGATCGTATAGACGTGCAGATAGTCTTATGAAAGCGAATCGTCTATATATTTTTAAAACAATGTGACTAAATGGCCACTTTGCTGTAGTTATTGATAGTGATAGGTAATAAAATAATAATATCCTCATATCTATAAGCATCTTGATGCATCTTCAGTCATCCTCAATTTCGATGATTTTTCTCATTTCTGTTCCTTGAACCATTTCTCTAAACGTAATGCCTATTCTACTAAGCAGACTTTTTTGGAATTAACTTGTGTAACTAATATGCTCTATTTCCTGCCGAGGAAGGCTCATTTACCTGCTACTTTCCTTTACTCTCCCCCAAGGAAACCTCCATCATTTGCCGCTGCTAAATTCCTTCCTGTAACCCTTGCTCATTTTTTATATGGATCACTTGATGGGAACCCATTGAGAGCATCGCTTTATTACAAATGCTTTTAGTTACCCACGGTTCAATAGCCCCTTAATGGGTCCATTGATCTCTTTCGGCACCATTCTTCCTTCATATTAAGTTTTATCTTAATTTGCTTAGTCATACAGCCCTCTTTAATTAGGTCGTTTTTGATTTCTTCATGTCAGTCAACTCTCACATGTTTGGCATCTTTTTTAAAGGCTGATCCTATTCGTTATGAAATTTATAAAGCCTTTGTATGCGTTTCTACTGCTTATTCCAAGTAAGGTAGCGTATTCTGTCAGTAAAGTTTATGCCACTAGTGACAATTATTTCCTTCCATGAAGATTTTACTGGGTAGATAAGGCGTATTGATTCGATTAAGGGCAATCTAATTGCAAGGCTTCATTAGGCATAATTGCCCTTACTGGGTTCGCTAAAGGGCGGATTGGATTAAGCAAGCATAGGCAGCAACGAGTTTTGTAATGGCACCTATCTGCATGCAAATCCGGTAGCACAAAACTCCCAAGGCTGTGTCTGGTAAAAGACCGGGCAGTCACAAATCCTATTTCATCTGTTTACGCTAAAGTTCACTTTGGGTGATTTCGATTCAATGGGTGTGGCTATGGAATGCGGCGTATGAGTTTCTGGTATAATTGATTTTAAAAGTGGGCTTAAACAACTCTAATTAGATCGCAAAAGGTCGAGTCAGGTCAATTGGGGTTGGATGCCCTCAATTCCCCATTTATTCCTTGTTATGTAAAATATGAGGTTTGTCAAGCCACATTTGATTTCAAATTGCCAATGCATGTAGCTTTCAAGATATTATGAAATTGCAATGCACTGTCTAATGAGTTGTAATCACACGTCTTACGTCTCCTGTTTGCGCCACATCCCAGCACGCGCGCGTGCGTGGTGTGTGTGAATGTCTACTAATTAGCAAGACGAGTAGTGCCCTTTATGCACTATCTCTGCTTTGTGGCAATCTATTCTAAATTTTTCGTATCGGTAGCGCGTTATCTATTTGGTTTCTTTTCCCGTAATTCCTGTATGGCATTTTGTGCGAAATTACGCCATGTGATTTCATCAGCTGCGTGCACATTGTACATGCGTCCGTGCGTGTACACCGCATATGGTGTGTGTGCCTCTATGTTTATCACTCGTGCGCGCGTCCCTGCTGGTAGTGAGCTCCTCACTGCCCCTGGAGCAAATAAAATGCAAAATTTTTACTTTAGTGCGTCTATTTGCCCGGAGAGGCTATAAATACCATGCTCTATCTACTTTGGTCGCCTGTTTCTCTTGTCGCTCATTATTGTATGCACCAGACGACTGCAGCTCGTTTACCTCAGCCTTTGTCCCAATAGAGTTTACTATTGTAAAAGAACAAAATCTGATTATTTCGAAGACATTTGATTCATGCCAAAAAATATCATTAATGGTTTCCTTCAAATTACAAAAGTTTCAGAAGTAGGCTGTGCTCACTTGTGGAATTGCTCGTGCTGAGAGAATGGGCTGGCCCACGTCTCATTATCTTCTGTCTGTTATAAAACTGTATAATATTAACTATCAAATATGGTGGGTTCCCTATCCAGCTTTCGGGTTTTTTTGCACCCGTACTCGTAGTTAATTGATTAGCATACATTTTGAATGTGGCATTCCTTCTACAATTAGCACCCAATCATTTTCAGCTTAGATTCATTGAAATTCTTGGTAACCAGCATGGCCTTAAACGTTTACAAAATGCATAAAGCCATCCCTACCATTATTCTAATTATTCATTAAAGTTTCGCTTCTAAGGCCATTATGTGTGCTAAATTGCTGACGAATGTCGGAATTTAGGTGGGGCTTTTTCGCACCAACCGGATTCGCCACTTTTACCTCAAATTAACTATTGAAATATTAATGAAAACAGTTCCTTTGATTGAAGTTTTTAAAAATGGAGAGTTAATTTTCACAGTTTAGATGCAGCCCCTTATTGATCCCCATAAAAGGAGAAGCGAAAGGTCTTAATTAGATTAAGCCTTTTTATATTTCTTCAATGTCATAGTAAAACAGACGTGTAGTTGCAACAGGTTTTGAGTGGCTTTTGGGGGTATGATTTTACGTAATATGGCAAATTTATAAGTCGAACACCTTTAAATGTTTTTTTCTCATTATGTAGCGTTCGGTGGTCCCTTGTTTGAGTCTGTCTTCCTGGGATGACTCATCGGTTACTCCTTTCATAAATATTTATTTATTTATATCAAATGGCAGGCGTTTTGATAGTTATCATTAGCCCTTTAGTTGACTTCGGGTTTCACAGGGGGAAGGAACATCAAAGTAACAGAAAGTCGAGGGGTGGGGAACAGAAGAGTGATTTAGAGATGTAAAGAGACAGACATGAAGGCAGAGAAAAGGTAGGATAAGTACTGCGCCAGAAGTCAATCGCCAGTTAATAGACTTTTTGCCGTATGAGTATACGTTGCCCAGGGTGCACCACGTGGAGGTAAGTCTATCACGCACCCCACATCAAAGGGAAAAAAGTCGAGAAGGGAGGATGGGGGAGAGAACAAAAGTGTGTTTCAAAAATGTAAAGGAGACAGACACAGGGATAGTGAAAAGGTGAGGTGAGTACTGTGAATGTAGTGGAATTTGACATACAGTGGGGTAATGGTAGTTTGAAGTGGGAAGTCAACTGCCGGTTAATAGACTTTTTTGCCTTATGAGTATACGTTGCCCTTCTCAATACCATCATGTATGACTCTATCATGATTGCCGATGAACATGGAGAAGAAATTTGCCAGACCTTAAATGCGCTCCATTTAGTCTTTACCCACAATTTGGTCGTGGAATTACCTTATCTTCCTTAAAATCATTCAATACACCCCTGGTACATCAACTCCCGTTCTTATAATTCTCCATTTACCTGTAGTTGGGAGTGTTTAAATTTTAGACGCAACGTTCGTTATTGGGAAACTTATTGTAATATAAGAGCAAATGCAACGAAACTCATCCCTTTTCCGATTAATAGCAGCAGCAGCGGCACTAAATCGTATTCGACAGGGCAGCAATCGGTCAAATTAAACCCCCAACAGTTGTTCCACTTTCTTACGCCTCCTCTCAAATTTGAATGTCCGATTGCCTATTTATGTCACTTTTGTTTCTCCTTGAAATAGCATAAGTTCTGATCGCAGTGTTATACTTACTTCCGCCTTTTAATATTATATTTATTAATGTTTTGTAATTGAGGCCATATTTTTCGAGTAGGTTAGGTCATTCCCAATTGCATCAAAGCCTGTTCTCTCCATTACTTCGTTTGGGTAATTTAATTTGGTTAAAACTCGAAATATCTTAACCTCTTTATTGCTTTGACCTAATCAGCACAATTGGCTTTCCATATCCGAACCCGTTAGATCTGTGTTTGTTGATGTCCATGACTCATCCTTACGTCCTCACTATACCAACCTCATTCTCCTCGATTTGGGGTTTGAGTTTTCGTTATTAGCTATTTTCCACTATAAACTAATGACCGCTTCACCCAAGTCCTACTTATCCCAACTATGAGGGTGCGCTGGGCGCAATCATTTAATCTTTATTTTCTGCATCCAATAAATGGTGTTTAATGCCTCAGATGCAAACTCGCCAAATCATTTTTTCCATAAAACTGCCTATAGCGGTTTTTCTGCTCTAGAAGATAGTAGGTTCTTTAGAAAGCAAATGTAACAGAGTTTCGCTCACTTGAATGTTTGACGAAAATACTATCGAAATTGCAGCATGGGACCTCCGGAATTTACAAAGAAATGATGAAGTCCTTGTTTTTGACGTTTGTTTATGTTTTTCATTTGTTAAATGCCACACATCTTACCCCCCCCCCCCTTCCCTCCCTGCCGATATTTCATGGGGTGAGGAGGTTTAAGCACCATCTTGTTATTATAGGGCACCAGTTGTGTGTACTCAGGGTCGATGAGTCATGGTATTGAGCCTTCTGCTTTACTGGTAATTAGAGTCCTAGCTTTTGGAGACTTTGTTTGTGAATTGCTTAATTAAAGCACAAACTTGAGCCGTGGGTTTTTTCCTTGGGGAGGGGGAGGGGGAGGGGGAGGGGCGGGGAGGGACTGGCAAGAACCGTGCTATATTGCCATGGTGCTTTGCTATGGTTCTTTTTTGGTGCAAATGTAATGTTTATTTTATACCCCTTCATAAATTTTATGCTTAGACGCTTTATCCCTCGTTTATATGCTATTTTAAAACGCGAAATTCCAAAAATACAAAGTCGTAACAATAGTGTAGTGTATTTTCTCGAATTTTTTTTTTCAATTGGGTAATAATTTTGTTGCCTTTTCTCTCACTCACTTTCAGTTTCTCTGCCATCAAGGAACGACTTCAAAGTGTTCCTCTGCTGCAATCTCTTCTTCCCACTTCCAGCGATGTAACGGTATGTGCACTTGTCTCACCTCCTAATGTCTATTTAATTTACCTCCTTTCGTCTTTTTGTAGATCATCACTGGGTAATTTTCTTTAATCTTGCTCTTTCGTTGCTTGTTTTTCCCTTACTTTCCCTAAAATGGCATTTAAAGATGGTTAGTTAGTAGAACTAATTGTAGCTGCTGGACTAATTGAAGAGTTTGCGATAACCTTTTACTCGCTAATTATTCAGAGTAACTAATAACAAATCAAACCCAAATCAAGAGTTGAGAGTATGAATCATGCATCTCTCGTTTACCACCAACAGAAATTGGGAGAAAAGTTGGAAGGAGAATTTGATTGTGGAATGACAGGAAGTGAGCGTGTCAGCAAGGGATGAATGACTCGAAATAAAGTGGCTTTGCGCAGCACACTGCTAGTTTGATGAACAATCGTTGCTAGCCCATTATCTTCCAATTTACTACGTGCGTTCAATAGCATTTTAAGGTGCTGCGTAGTCTTTTCGAGGTGCCTGAATAAATCCGGGTACTATATGGCAATTTCCATATTTTGTTTTTATACGCTTACTTCTGATAGAGGACTCACAAAGCTACGCAGCATTATTCCATATATATATTGGTGAATTTTGTCACATTTTTTTACATGTATAAAATAGTACTGAATTTAATGGAAAGCCTCTAGTCATTGACCTTGAGTCTATTGCTTATCTATATAGTCACTCAAGACCAACCAATATGAATGATTACTTCCGGTGTGTGGTTGGTCTTAAAAGTTAGGAAGCGCTTAATTGATAGGCTCGTAACGAGTCCATAAATCTTAGAGATTGCGGAAAGTAAGAAGTGTGAAAAGTCGAAGGTGTTTATTATTGCATGGAAATGTGGATGTGAGCAAGCACAAGACTTCGTAGGCATGCAATACGACTTAATATTCACCTTGATTACTGTGTCCTACTCTATTACTCTAACCCTATTTTTCACGTATATCGTGTCTCTCTCTAAAGTGTGTGTCTCCTACTGCTTTGGGATAAGTGGAAATTCATAGTTACTATCGTCTTTGAAGTGATCGTGTGATAAATGCTTATCGAGGGAAAGAGAAAGTGGCGGGAATTTCTTCAATTTATCGCATAAGACTGGATGATCGGTTTGTATGTATTTAGTACCTGCGTTAAAGTAAAATTTATTCATTCGAACGTTGGAACATAATGTTTGTTATTAGGTTATAATTCATGCCATTCCAACATCAATAATTATATTTCGAGTTTGTGTAACTATATCTCATCAGAACTTCTTATAATTCCCACTCATTAGTAAATTAATTTTGATGGATTGCTATATATTTCTGGTAAATAGACATTCCCTCTTATATTTGGTAATAGCCCTTTAAGGTAGGCCTACCGACCTTCTTTCATCGCATTGTCATCTAGATTGATAGACAGGCGTGTTATTAGGTGTACTGACATACACGCATGGGCACAAGTCAATCTGTATTTTTACTTTGTGGGGCCTGTGATCTCGTGTCTTCTTGGATCTAGGTTTCGTTACTCGCCCCTCGGGTTTTACTTTGGCAACCCCGTCCGTTTTCGTTCGACAAAGTAACCATTCATAAAGAAATACATAGACACCCTATAAAGTGAAGGTACTGCCATTTTAAGAAGGAAAAAGACTTTTGGGACTGAGATTCAAAGAAGCAGGAAATCCCTTTTCGTTTGGTTCCAGAATTATTGGTTCTAGCCGCTTTTTTCAATTTAAAGGAATCGACAAACTATCTTTGGGTTTGTGTTTAGGTGTAAATTGGTATTTTCAACATTGTGTGACCTTGCTATGTTCACAAACGGAATTACAGGAGTCATAAGAACCTACCCCTGTTTCTGCTATTAAAATTCCATTTAGCGTTCTTTTTAACTTTTATGACTTCGCCTGTTTAGAATGAAACCATCAACGTATATGGTCCTCCACGAACCCTCTATGATTGGATGTGCCATCAAACGGCCCATATTGTGCCTCGTAGACCCAACGCGTCCAATTTGGCTGGACGAGTAGGAAGTGGATTCCACCTCACTTCAACGGCGAGCAGCTCATTGGATATCTCTGCTGTTCCTCTAAATATCCTCTGCCGCAATCCTTCCAAACTCCCCCTTAATACCTCATTCTATCTATCTACTTCCTCATCTTCTCAGGGTGATGGTTCTACACCCTCTGTTGTCCCGAGCCTGGAATCCACTCTTATTGAACTTGTTGAGGATTCCGCTGCGAAATTAAGGATGCTGAATGATAGTTCAGGAGATATGTCTATGACTAACCATAAGACCTCTATATGTGACGATGGTGATACCAACTCTGTTCTCATGATGGGAGATGAAATTGATGATCAACGACCACACGAGGACGATAAACCCATGCCCCTCTCCACAGGCCAAAAATTAGCTTTTGTCTACTCGTAAGCTTTCTTCTACTTGACAAGTGGTTTTAGCGTATAGTGTCGAAAAGCCCCAATGAAACTTTGGGAGAATTGGTAATATTTACGATTCGAGGGTCTACTAAGTCAGTTGTCACAAGATCAGTGCTCATCGATGCACACCCTGTGACGAGAGTGCCCACTCATTAATCAAGTCCATGGGCTACAGAATCATGTTCATACGCTTAAAGTTGTAAACCGCACGTCCTGACCAATGTATACCTCAAAACGAGATTAGAGGAGTACAAATGAATCGTTGATTTCACTAATTTTACTTAATTAATGATGATGAAATGTATATTTAAGAACCCATCGCGATGGTATTTGTAATGCAAACCGTGTTGATGGTCAGTCTGTACTCGTTTATACGCCTATAATGATCTCGTCCCTACCTCCTGCCCACTATCATCACAATTTACTCATCAATTCTCTTTTATCTCGTGGTTTTTTCTCTTTTCAAAGGAAGTTGAAGAGTTTTGCTGATCTCCTAGATGTTGCGCCTCGTGATGCTGAATGCTTATCTCACAATGAAGTTCATGAAAGGGATGAAGTTAGTGGATCCATCAGAATAGCACAATTGAATCAGGAATCAAATTACGGTTTCTCCAGCCATTCAATTTCGCCTATGGATTCATCGCCACTTGTTCGCGGTCAAGCTGCTAACTACCCTACTTCACTTCCCTTCATGGCATGCCCAATGCCAGAGCATGAGATTCAACAGAAACCAGATTCCATGGAAAATTCGGACGACGGGGTTGTCAACTGGAGGTGTTCCAAAAGAAACTTTAGTCGTCATCTAGACAACCTAAACAGAATTCAAGATGCTGCCCAGGATGCTGTTCGTCAAGTAAAGGATCAAATATGTGAGGTTCTTCTTGGACTCAAGGTAAGCCGTTTAGTTATTTCACAGGATCATTGAATGAAAAAGCTTCTAGAGGATACGATCACCTTTTAATGCGGTTTGGCGGTGTGAGAGGGAGGGGGGGGGGCTATGAAATAAGCTAAGCCCTCAGATAGGGAAATGGGTTGATTAAAGAACTTGGCTTCAGAAGGTATTTGGTAGGATTTATAGAAATGAGAGAGCTGAGTATATGCTCGGTGGAAGCTAAGATCTTTATTTATTTGCTCAAATTATTTCTATTTCAGAATCACGAGCCATTAAAAGCTCAAAAGTGTCGCCTTTTAAATATTGGTAAACTACTTAAAGATCTCGGCACTCGCCTCCAATCAATAATCGACATGAAGTATAAGCTTGCTGATGTCATTTCCAGACTGCAAGTGTGAGTTTGTCTTGTTTTTACTTATTGCTTTAATTAGTAGCATATACATATTTTCCTCCTTCCTATAGACAACTGCAAAGTTTCTCTTCTGAGGCTATGAACAAAGAACGAGAGTGTGTGAGATGTTTCGCATACTTATCCAATATCTCGAAATGCAGCGCTGTGTTATATCAACTCCAGGACTCTCCTGAACTTTATGTCAAGTGCTTGTTGGAAATAATCCGTCGACGACGAACTTCGTCACTCTGGAGCTCACTTAACAAGCGATACACACGTTACTATGCAGAATTTCAGCATACTGAGTCTCAACGTCGGGAGTCTTTAGCCTATGAACTGAAGGATCACCTTCTGGTGGAGATTTTTCGCCCTCTGAACACCCCCTACTTACCTTGTCTACGCTTCAGCCATCCAGGAAAACAGGTCTCTCGCATTTCTTTGATCTCTTTGTCTTCGTCTAAACGACTTAGTTCAAATGGCAAGTGTTTGTCCACTAGCCAGCTGAATAATCCATCCCCTACCGCCTTCCGTTTATCTGCTGCTAATCGACCTCGAACAGTAATTATTCCCTCTAATAACGAAGTTCTCTCTAACAATAGTAATAATAACAGTACCGATCGAAGCGAGAACTCTCTCCCTTCCATAAATGAAGCAGAGGTTAGAGAACTTGCAACGCGACTTCCTCAAGATCTTGCCACGATGATAACAAAAGCACTGAAGGAATTAGAATCTGAGGAGTATGAACTGATGGCTGGATTTCATTTGGGAGGATCAGATGATGAGATGGAGGACAGGTTGACACAATTGGAATGGCAGAAACAATTGCGACGGCGGTCTAGACTCTTCTCTAGTCCCGGAATACTAGCCCATGGATTTACTCGACAGAATTATCAAATCCAAGCTGTCGATGCCTCTACTAATACCAAAGAAGAACCGTAAGTCCTAATTGTTGCCCTGCGTTAGTTCCTTCATACAATTTCAGGATTGGTTTGTATATTTGTGTTTCTTATTCCTAGGCCAAAAAGCCCCACCAGCGATAAGGGAGTTGAGGCTAATTTTGAAGCTACCTGTGATCAACCCACCCATTCTCCTCCTTCCCCACCTTCTGAGGTATTAGTGTGATTGGTTTTTGGTTTGCCACTTTATGCGCATTGCCTAAGCCAACTTTCTGCTGGCACTCATGCAAAGCTTACAATATTGAGAGGATAAGATTGTGAGATTTTGCCTATTTCGATTCTACAAAGTTTAGGTTATTTTTCTGTTTTAAAGAATCGGTTTAAAGGAAGGCGGCACTTTTGTTTAAGCAGAGCTCATAGTACAGGCGTCATATAGGGGAAGTAACCAGTATGCAGTGAAAACTTTGGAAGTCACCTGGATACAAGCTATGGAATGATGGTAATAGGCTGGGTAAAGTACTCGATTACTTATCAATATCAAATGGCAGGCTTTTTTGATAGTTATCATCAGCCCTTTAGTTGACTTCGAACTTCACAGTGGGAAAGAACATCAAAATCACGAAAATTCGAGGGGATGGGGGGGAGACAGAAAAGGAATTCATAGATGTAAGAGAGACAGATACAAAGGTAGGGAGAAAGGTAAGGTGAGGTGAGTACTGTGGAAGTGGTGGAATATGACATACGGTGGGGTCATGATAGTTAGAAGTGAGAAGTCAACTGCCGGTTAATAGACTTTTTGCCGTATGAGTATATACGTTGCCCAGGCTGCACCGCGTGGAGGTAAGTCTATCGCACACCCCAAAAACGCGATGATGAGAAGTGGCCAATAAATGCCTTTTGGTTTTGGCTATTTGGAGTAGCATTCAATTCGCCTTTAACTTAAATGAATTGAGGTTCAACATTCACATTTATTTTCACAATTCCTATTGTTTTGTGGCCACAGAAGCTTTACAAGTTTGACTGTTAGCACCTATTCTATTATATAATATTTTGAAATACCTCACCCTTTTTTTCTATAATAAAATTAGTCAACATGGGACTACTTGCTTCTCCATAAATAGCGATAATCAATCCAGATTTAAGCATTTGCGCTTTTCATGCACTCATTTGTGCGAATGAATGATCTACTGATTTGGATGGTAATGCAGTCGTAGAGCCTCATTTCTATCAAATGGATTGTGATTGTACCTTCCTTTTTTCTAGCCTATTGACCAATCCACCGATCTCTACCTCTCAATTGAGGTTTCCAATTTCTCCGAGAATCCAATCTCTCCATCGAGCGCCTCTCACAACCCTTCCTCGAAATTCTTTTCCCCTCAAGGCAGCCGCAGTGAAGCGGAGACGGATCCCGAAGGCGGAGATGCCCCTAGCACTGCAAGTGACTCTCTTATTGCAGCGTCTTGTGAGCTCTCAGTTCTTGATTTTTATTTTTATTTTCTGCCACACTTTCGTGTTTAAATCGTGCGTTTTCTGTACTTTTCCAATAGATCCAAGGCATCTAAACGAAGCTCTCACGGCACAATCAGCCACCTTAAGAAAGCTTGTGGAACAGTTGAATACTGGTCTTCCAACCCATTTAAGCGTCAAACTGCCTACTTTCACTCCTGGCGAGGTTCGCTCACTCTTTGATTACTGTATTATCATCATTTAATGTCTGTATTTGAGTCTTGATCATCAATCGAGCGTATACTATCGACTCATTTCTGCTTTGTCTTAACTGTTAGAGGTTATTTTTTGTTAGTTACCTATTAGTCAAGGCACTTATAGTAACCACTTCAATTTAAAGTACAGCTATTTGGTGTCTTTATTACAACGCTGATTGAAATTTTACTCTCTAAGTCAGAAGCGTGTTAAAAATGAATGACAACTACGCCTGCTCGAAGAGTGGACCAATGAGAAAGCTGAAAGGTGATGAGCGTTTATTCTGAATGCCTTCGTCGCATTTATTCCCAACTTCCATGCAGCTGGTTCACTAATCTGTGCTATTCGTCCATTTAAAAAGGACTTTTAGACCGCTCTCCCTCTAAATTACTTGCTTTCCATATTTCTGGCTTGCCCTTCTTCTCTCTTGCATCTTAATGTGGTGAAATTTGCCTTCACCACGCGCTTAAATTTTGCTCATTTGGGTTGAAAATCTTACGTTTTTCTGCTACTCTCTCTGGGAAGTTGCGTACTTTGCTTGTCGATATTTCTTAGTCCAAACTGGTCAGGCTTCTAAAAATTCTTCCTTCGACCTCCACTAATATTCTTAGCTGAAAATTCATGCTACTTTAGTCCCATTCGTGATGCAAAGGAATTTTGACTAGTGACACAGATGCATGTTCCCTATTTGTTACTCTGTCAACTTATAACCTTCTGCATATTTTCATACAATTTAATTTAGTCCATGTTATTTGTGTCAGTAATGTAATTTATAAAAGTAATTGAGTGCCAGTACATCTCCTTGTCGAAATAAGTTCATTTGAACTTCCCAAGGGGCGTAGTGTTTGGCCTTTCAGCTCATTTGCCTTTCAACCAGGCTTGGCCTCAGTTACCTCTTTTAGTAGTTTTCATTTTCAGTTGTGCGAGAAGTAGTGCTTTTTCGCAATACCTAATTTATGCTTCTTCAAATCACTTAGGTTTCCCGTCATGCTTCCGATCTCTGAATGCCTCTTTGATTGGATTGGGATTAAGCCCCGAACTCTTTTTTTATTTTATTTTAATATTTAGAAATGAAGACGGTTGAAATCCGTTTAGATGACAATTTTTTGCTTAGCTAATACAAATGGGAAATTCTGATCAACGCCTTATAGTTGGGATGATAGGAGTACCTCTGCCTAAAGTTTTAAGTGGAATTCATGCTATCTCATCTGTGGGTCTCAAGTGGAACGCAAATGTAATATATCCCAAAAATCCCCTTCACATTCGGTCTTGATCTGCTATCGGTAGAGTTAGTCATTCTCCTTATGTCGTTACCTTTACTCTTTATTTGTGGTTATGCTTTTAGGAAACCAAATACTTGAATGAGACAGTATCATATATTAGTCAACTGGTAAGTCAGCTGGAGGCACGTAAACTTGTCCTCGTCGCCCCCACGTCAACTGCCTCATTGCCCTCCTCAACTGAATCTCCTACTCTACCTCCCTCTCCGCCAAAAATTTCCACCAAATCCGTCTTCACTCAAGCCTCCCAACAGAACTCCAGCCAGCTTACAGGTCAGTATTCGTAGTGTGCGCTGTGTTCTTTTGAAAAACTGCACTTCCTCCGCTATTTCATTGCAAGCCCGTGTAGTTTCCGCGGGAGAGTGATACGATAAGGCTGAAGTGTAGTCATCCCAAGAAATTTTATTGATTCGTTAAAAATACTGGTGTTTTCATTCTTTTTTTTCTTTTTCATTTTATCCGTCATTATTGTCTTGCCGCCTCTATGCCTTTTTCCATAGCAAAACCTTGTTTTGACCACGCTACTTATTCAATGAACGCTACTGACTACTTACCATGATTGTGTGAAAATTTGTTGCCTTAGGTTGAAACATTTCATCACTGTCATATGATCGGGTATAGTGCTCGCAATACCTTCAAGATAATACTATCGCAAATCAGTGCTCACTTTCATTTAATGAACTTAAATGAAGGCAAAGATATTAAATTCTGGTGGCTTTGTCTCTATTTAAGCGAAATATTTCTTCATGCGCATCAATATAGCTCTCGCCCATTCGTTTTCTTGACGTAATCAGCGAAGTATTTCATCATGCCCTACTGTGTCACATGATCGATATCGGAGCTGTTTACCTCATCTACGAACTTGTGATCATAAAATTTTTCAACTTATCTGCTGTGGTCGGATAAAATTTAAAAGAAGATTTGAGTTCCATTTCAGTTTTATTATGTTTAAAATGTAGGCTCGTCTATCGGCTTAAGATGTCAATAAAATAATTGGTATATTTATCTCCAGTCAATTCACGAATTACGAGACTTTTAGAATGTTTGGCAGCATCCCATTGGTCTTCACTTGATGCAATAAAATAAATAGTTGAAGTAATCCAGTTTGTCAAAGTATAAAAAGCTTTTCTCATTGGATTCATTTTTCTTCAACTCTTTCCTCTTTTAGAATGTTCTTCACGGGAATTACCAGTTACCCAAGTAAGTTATTCCCTTTCAAAATCATGTAAACATTAAAAATTATACGTGTGTATTAATAGTGCTTGTTTTTTCCTACTTAGGCAACTTCCATATCAATCAATGAAGACATTGCGTCGCTCTCAAATAATCTATCTTCCCCCATATTCCACAATAACTTTGCTTTTTCCAAGTATTGATGCCCATCCTTTTATTGTTATTTAACGTTACTAAATTCTTATAAGTACATATTGTTTTTTTCCTTTTAGTTTCCGATCTGAAAATTTAGTAATCTTCATCCCTGTTGTGGTTTCGGCTAAAAATCAACCTAACAGCGGCACTATGAATGACGTGCCCGTTGGGGAAGATGCGTTGACAACTGGTGGTGGCATTTCCTTCTGGGGAAAACAGTCGCTTCGCCTCCTGTCATCTGACATAATATCGTCTTCGCTCGCTCCTTCAAGTGCAACAGGCGCTGCTGTGGAGCAATGGCGAATGTTGTCAAACGATGGGCTTGTCTACTTCCTCCATGATGATGACTTTGAGGACTTTAACGTTGCTCGCAGTGCCTGTCAACCGGCTGCTAGTGCGCTTTGTCGGACTGGGGGTAAATCTTTTCGATTTTATTTATTTGCCTTGGTTGGTCTAAAAAGGCTTTACACCTTTTAATCATGGAGCAACGTCAAAACGCTTAATAAGAGCTTTGTTTTCGGACTGAATCATATTTACTTTGAAGTTCCATCAGTCATATTTAACTTCTATAAAATTTGACTTCAGGACATAGCCTCTAGGTTTCTAATCTGGAGAGCGGTCAATCTTAGAATTATTAAATTTGCAGCTAATTTTCTTATCCATATTGATATTTATTCGTTCAGACTTGAGTGGTTTGTTGGTTGTTTATTCTTCACCGATGACAGCTTCCTTCTATCTACAGGAGCACAATTTTATATGACCTATGTAGCACGATTTGTCCTATATTTTGGTTAAATAATAGGCTGAGTAAGCATTCTATATACTTAGTTCTAATGAGAATCTTTTTTCAATGTAGAACCCTCTCAAACTACCTTGTTGCCAGAACCAGTCCTGCCTTTAGCAAGACGTGCAGTACCTTTCGTTATCGGAGTCTTTCAACGCAAGGAAAAGTGCATATCGAAAAAAGTACTCATTTACTCTTAAATTTCATAAATAGAAAAGACTTGAGCCTTACTTATTCTTCTCGACGTTTTAGGATGAAAACCGGTTTGGTCTTCCTCGCGACTTTGTCTTCTTTAGAGTTCGAGCTCGGTCTTTATGAAATCACCCATCTTTTCTATCACCTACCTTTTTTCTCCATTCAAATGTACCGTAGCATTTCGTCTCCGTCCGTTCTCCCTCCTATCCCCGCGAATCCCTTCTTTGCGGTCTTCTCATTTCTCGCCATGTTTTATCAACTTTTATTTTCCATTTGACAAGAAGTCCCTCACGACTTATGGAGATTTGGACAGATGATCACGTGTACTCCATTCTTTGAAGTTCTTTTCTTCTCCCACTACTTCCAGTTATTAATAGTAGTATACTCGAACCCTTCCTCTCTATACTCAGTTAAGACGCAAAATCAGAGATGTCTTTTTTATAAAATTTGCCCATCGGTCAAGATACATCTTACTTCTCTCTTATATTTCCTATTTGGGTGGGTTTCTATCAGAAAGGTTGTAAAATCTAATATTATAATTTGCTTGTCATGTCATCTGATTGATCTACACCTTCATCAGATTTAATACTGAAAAGAGATAGAATTGGATGTATGGGCGTTGGGAGTGTAGTTTCTGTGACACTTGGACCAGAAATAAAGAATCTGAAGAATTAAAAAAACAAGTAAGTTCTGTCATTCGGGTTCATGTCCTAACTCCTTAGTTTCTGTCCTTTGTGGCAGGATTGATTTACAGCTAGATTGAAAATGTCAAACTATCCCCTATTATCTTGTTAACTAGTCCCTATTTGCCGAATGTATGGAAGTATGATTTCTTATATTTGCAACTATTAATAGCAGTGCACCTGCCATTTCGAAGGTGGGGTGAAGAGAAGACCAAACACAAAGCGGATAGTTTAAAGACGAGATTCTACTTCAGCAACTGATGTGTTGATCTCTTTGAAATCCAGTCATTGAGAAACGGTTGCAGATCACATAGCCTTGTTGGTATGCTCTCTTATCCGCGCATGGCTATAGGGAATCGAATTATCGTTTGCTTTTTTAAATGAAATCAGTCCTCCGTTTATTACAGGGAAACAAATATTTGTTTCAGTAAAAGTTTGGTGTAAAAACATACCGGTGTTAAGATTCTACCCCATGATTACAACCCTTATTCCGAAAAGAATGTGCTAACTAGTTACCAATTAAATTAATACTGGGAAGCCTCATATAAAAGATTGAATGGGGATTCTCAAAGTTATCAGGCTAAAAAGCAATAATTCATACAGAACTTACATATAATTTGTTTCCGACGAATCCACTACACATTCACACGGTTTTGATTTTAGCCTTTTTATTCACTAAGATTAGCCCCGATTTCACCTGAATCGGTCACCTCCGAGCCGTCCACTATTTTGGTGAATATTTCCTACTTTACTATCTAAGCCCTATCATATGCACACTCTGGGAATTCCACACGTATTACCTCTTACATATGGAGCAAGCCAATCAGCAACAAATATTTGCACAACAGAGGGTTAATTTACAAAATTATTATTAGCTGTTAGATATACTTGGCTTACTTATACAGTGTCCGTCATATATTCTCCTTGTTGGTTGTGTAAAGTGCCTTTCGTATGTGCCGATTGGTCAACTTCGTTAAAATCTAATTAATTCCCTTCCCATTCGCGAAGACCGGGTTGTCACAGAGATTAGTTACTCTGATGACCTAAAATTAGGATGGAATTGGATTAAAAGAAGGCTGTGAGTAATTCTATTATTTGCTAAGTGATTTCCGTGATATGAAGATTTTCGTTCCAAGATGATCCAATTATTTGCATGAAAAAGGGATTGAAATGTGAGTAAAATTTGGCGAACACTAGCGAGTTCCACTATGTTAAAATCATACTATAATACTAACCAAGATGCCAGTATCAGCATATATGATTGCACTCAGAGAACTGGAAAATAAGAACATGGCATCAGGGTAATCCCCTAATAGTTTACGAGGAGGAGGTATTTCAATAGTCGAGTGTGCATAAATACTTAGCGAATAGAAATAGAAATGAAAAGAAGTTTTACATGCTAGAAAAGGGAGCACGAAAAAAGTAAATTTGAAAAAAAAATTAAGATAAATGAAAATAAGGAAAAAATTGGTCTTCAAACCTCGATCAATAGCACGTCCGCACCTCCTACGGATCCAATTTGTTTGCGTTGTGCACTCCACAAATGAATTGTGCTTATATTTTGGAAAACAAAGGGGAGTTTTAGTTAAATAATTAGTCATTTTCCACTTATGGACTCATTTTCCTAGCTAAATAGTACACCTTCAAGGAACTCTTAATTTGGGACCTGAATTCATAATATGGGCTACGAGAAATTTGAACTCATGAGCTCAACTTCTTTAATCTTACAAGCTTCTCCGTCGATCTTTGTCTAAGTGAAGATATGATTTTGAGTTTTTAAATAGAGGGAAAAATGAAGTAAGCTGATTGGTGAAGAGGAATGTTTATAAAGTGGTATTTTAAATTGACTGCGTGACAACATACCCTCCAGGTCAACTCGTAATCTTGAAGGGTTTGACATTTCGAAAGTCCAGTTTTTGAACTAGATATGAATAATCACTGTTTAAGATTGAACAGTGGCACGAGAGTGAGGTAAAAATTCTCAGACAAATTCCTTACTTTTTTTATTTATTAAACAAGTGACTACTTTTATTTTTTACATAGGCCCCATCGTTGTTGAGTAACACGGAGCCTTAAAATTATCCCCATTTGCTTACATCTTTGACAAAGTCGTTAAAGAATGTTCGGCTCTTTGGATCAATTGATGTTCCTGCAATGTTGTGAAATCCAGAATGACCACTGTGAGCATGTTCAAGCTAAGATACTCAGTGAGAATATAAAATGTTGAACCGTATGAGATTCCTTCTTCACCGGCAATTTCCTCAATAATAACTCTTCGAGCTTGTTCCTGCACTAGGTTCTGCAGAAAAGAGATGTTTTCCTAATATCTCCATCCACGTGAGTCGTCCTCAAGTTGGACTCTTCCCTCTTTAAAGCGTTTGATCCTATCAAAAATGACTGCCATGTATGACGCAGAGTCCCCACAAGCCTGTTGTAATGCTTTTATAATCTGAATTGATTTCCAATTTTGTTTGGTTTAAAATTTTATCTTGGCTCGGATATCAAAATTTACCAGTTGAAGGGTTAAAAACTGCAACCTATTTTTAGATGCAAAGTGTTCACTGATATGCTGACCTTACATAGAATGATCAAACACGTTTGAACTTAAAATTTTCGTTCTGCTTAAAGTTTGGCATTTGTTGAGAACTTTTGCCTACAACTTCAATTTCCATATTTTTTTGAAAGTTAACCGTGGTATCTTGTAAAAGAAGAGTTTGGGGATTTCCACCCCTCTTATCTAGCGGGTGGGAATTATGGGAAGGTAGGTAAGCGCTTTTGTTAAATCTGTGGCCTCGATTTAGTCCTTCAAGTTGTACAGTCTTTATCGACTCTATTCCTTCCTTCTCAGTTGTGGTGTAATGTGCGAAAGGGGTGTTTGTTTCTCAGTGCAACACCAACGTGTTTGAAATCGTTTATCTGATACTCTCCAACCGTCATGCCGACTTCTTTTATTAAAATTGGGACCTTCGTTTTAACTATTTCACACACATCTTTTCCATCAATCATATATTCTGTTTTAAGCAAAGCGTTATTACAAGAATTCAACTGATTTGAAATTTTATTAGAGCTTCCTACATTAAATAACTCTGCGAAGTTTCTTCCGTATCTACTGAATACTGGTGGCATTAGTTCCATTTAGATTAGTTTCAAAGCTTTGCAGCCTATAGTAATTACTGACTGGCACTTACGTGGTAAAATATCTTTGCCTCTCCCTGGTGTCTCCTCCATCTCTTTTCCTATTCGTTATTAGTTTTCACAGTGCCATGTTGAGTCATAATTTACTAATTGCTCTAATGGGAACCACTTTTTTCCAAAATCTCTTCTCATAATCTCCGAAAGAAATTTTCACTACATTTTCCACTCTATTGGTCTCTTTCGTCACCAGATTTGTGCAGCATAAGCTACGCGGAAAGTGACCCTTAACTAGTTCACTCAGCTAATATTTGGGAATGGTAAGGTGAATGTATTAAAGTAGAATAAATACGATGACGCAGTAAAAGGTGCTTTGGACATTTATAAACTTCATTCTTTATCATTTCTGGCCTTAAGCCATTTTCTGTTCAAGAACAGGGAATTGCTGGAAATTGGCAGTTATCATTGGTCTCAAACTAGCTGAGAGTCCTCATAAATGCTACCCTTTTTTATCTCAAGTATACTTTCAAAACCGTGCTTTATCGTGTTACGAATTCCCTTACTATTTGAGTTCACTTGAAAGTAATTATCATCGTAGACCGATGCAAATTTCGGATGCTGCATACATAGAGTCATATAAGGGTGGATGTTAGAGTGAAAATAGAACAGAGACAGAAGGGGAATAAGGTGGAGGGCACCAGCGGAAGAGGAAGAAGACAGTGGTGAGGTATCCCATACGTTGGCGAATTTAAATGAAATGTGGTATTTCAACGCCTTGGCACGTTTCTGCAACCAAAGTTGCAGCGATTTGGATTTGGAGTTAGTAGCAGAATTGCTATTGGCCTATCTTAAGTGGTAGCTTGTGACAGAAAACAGGCACAAATTGGAGCTGGAAGATTACGAGCAACTAAGGAGGAACCCATTGGTACAGGCTCTGCGCAATCACTAAATTCGACCAACATAGTGAATGCAGAGGGAGCGAAGGCAGTGGCAGCAAGGGATGAAGAAGGGAGGAAGGAGAAGAGGAGGAGGAGGAGGAGGAAGAAGAAAGTGGTAGAGAAAGAGGTGGAGAAGAGAAAGAAGTGGAAGTTGAAGGAGAAAGGAAAGAAGTGGAGGAGGAGGTCAACTAGGAAAAAGTCGAAGGATGTGAATTATTGCAAGTATTCATTGAAGAAGAAGGAGTGTTAGGAAGGAGTGGAGTGGAGGAAGGGAAGAAAGCATAATTGGAGTACCCCGGGTCGCAGATAGGTACTGAGGTGGGTACAAGCAGTGCCAAGAAGACAAAGACGGTGAAGAGAGTACGATTCAATGAAATTGTCTCTTCTGACAATTGGACTTGGGAAGTTAAAATCTGGCCGTGGAATAACAAACGTGTTTCGGATTTGGTGGCTTTTGCTTAATTACAATTAGCTTATCTCGAGTTGCAAAACGTATTGGCTAAGTACTGTCTTGGATTAAGACCCGAAGTTCGCCAACAGTATTTGCGGGAGCATTTGACGAGAATATTTATGCCTCGTAAAGGTGATGGTGGAGATGCGGACAAAAAGAGATAGTGGTGGTGGTGGCGAGAGACCGGCAGAGAAAATGTGTAAGAGTACGGAGTTAAGTTCACCGATGGGACCTCAGTCGCGTTCAATACGGTGCGACTTCAATACGGTGCCGTGGTGAACTACTGGTGAGGACGTTTGGTTAATTCAATGCAAGTGCTTTTGAACGACTAACGCTGGTGGGCCAACGAGCAAAGTTCTATCTCACCATCCAACCACCATTGGTTCATCTAACGATTACTGAATAAGTTTTTCGCTCTTCAAGGTCCGTTGAAGCGTCGTCGATAAGTGGGTGGTGGGCGCGAATTAAAATAGTGTTTGAAAAAGTCACTACCTTTCTTACACGCCACTTTCCTTCCTACGTCTCCGTTTCCTCTCCGAGTCTCCCGCCTCTAGTTCTTCCACTCTCACTTATCCTCACAGTTTTTGTGTATTTCTCACTTGGTGAAGGACAACGCTTCCTATTAGCTCTTCCAAATACTTATAGTATAGTAGGGCAAATACTCCCAAGCCCAAATATACAAGGGAATCAAAATAAATTCAACCTGTAGAAGAACTCGTTAATTGAAGTAAAATTTGTGCACAAAAGCCTGCCATAAAGATTAAAATCGGTAATGTGATGTGATTTTAAAATCTGAAAATAACTATGAAAATTTAGCGAACGAACCCAAAGGCACCTTAATGAAAAAATGAGTTGCAAACTCGATGTCACACAAAGAAGTGAGCATAGCAATCAAATGTGGTAAAAGGTAGGTATTTCCACGTGCAGTTCTCATCATCTTATTCGTCTTCTTCTTCTATTGTGCTCAATTGGTCGCCTCGAAACCTCCTAAATTGCCTCTCTAACTTCT